AAAAAAAAAAAAAAAAAAAACAAAAGTGCACCTTGCTTTTATGTATTGTGCTTTCTCCAAATGACGAAGAGAAATGCTGGGCTAGGTGAAAGGCTTCTTCACAGACTGCACGCTTCAGTGTACTCTATCTTCTTCAAAGATATTCATTACCTGTAAAATAATAGGCACCAAAATGTAACAAATTAGTTAAAAAGTAGAAGATTGATCTAATCCATTGGAGGAGAGGGAGAGTATTAATCCTAAAAATCGAAAGTAAAAAATATATATATTTATCACTCAAATTTATAAAAAAAATTAGACAAAAAATTTCAAAGTTATATCATTTTAATCAAATATTATGAAAAAGATTAAAACATTCTTATTTTTATTTTAAAAATAATAAGATGCTTTAATTATTTTAATTAGACTTTATTAAATGTGTAAAATTTATTTATAAATAGATCCCGTGTTTATATATATATATATATATATACACACATATGAACGCGAAGAAAATATACAGGAAGCAAAAAAAATTATACCTTCTGGGCATGGAACTACTGTTTCTTGATCAAGTGTTTTTGAAGAAGGTTGAGAATGCGATTGCAGAATATGGAATAGAAAAACCAAAAATGATATAATCTGCAAAAAAGAATTGAAATTAATTCTGCTTTAATTTATACTTTATAGCAAAGAGACTAAAAATTTTTTAAACAAATATGAGAATTCAATTTAATTAAATTCTTAAGGGAATTTATTTATATGAATTCCATTTTATTTTCAAACTAAAAGATAAAGAATAAAGGAAACAAGAGTTGGTTTAAGGAATGACTTGCATCATAGAGAAATTTTAGGTTAAAAATACCTAAAAACTCTTAGATCTATAAAGGACAATGAAGAAAAAAAAATTAAAAAATCTGATTATCAAGTCAAAACATACGGAGATACTACCAACTAAAAAAATACATCAAAAATACAATATACATATTTATGTATATAATGAAATGCATCAAAGAATTTCATAATATCAAACATAACTCATTTATGTGGCACATTAAGAAATAAAAATGGTTGCTATTACAGAGCTGACCTTGGAATAAGTAGAAGTAGATACTACCAATTGAAAAAAGAGAGGATATATTATCATATGCAGATTTAAAAAATGAGACAAAAATTAATTGTAAAAAAGTTAATTTAAAGATGACAACAACTACAATTTTCTCCAAACGACTGTGAATGACTTTAATAAAGATATATCTAGCAAAAGGTTTCTTCATGAATTGCTCGGATATGTACTTTTTAGTTATTTTAAAGATTTTTAAAGAAGATATAACAAAATTAAAAATAAAAAAAGAAAAGCACTCTAAAACCTAATACTTTAGAGGAGACCGAGGAGAAAAAGTATAATTCAAAGAAAAGAATATACTATATACTAAGTTTTAATAATTTAGTGATGAAGTTAGCAAAGCTTATATTAAAAAATCAAGCTTTTGACAGAAGAAAAAAACTAGGTTAAAAAAAAAAAAAAAAAAAAAAAAAAAAAACAACACAGCGATTGAAAAATATATACCAGCTAGTTTAGAACTTGAGCTTCCTCAATTACAGGGGTTGAGAGACAAAATGCAGATACCAGAATATGAAGTGGATTTTACCAACGTGATGCAATCTGCTGAAAATAATGTAAATTTAGATGATAAGTGGTACTAAATTGTAGTACTACATAAAATCAAAAGGCTTGAGTATGTTGGGAAACGAAAAAGGGGACCGAACCATTAATTGGCCAAGCCATTTGAAGGTGAATCTCATCGGTTGCATAAGAAAATATGTAACGCAGCAATGAAGATCCGGAAGGCAGTGAAAGAAAACAAGTGGAGATAGCCTTTTATAGTTGAATCTACTCAGCGGAGAGGGAAAGCAGTGAAACTAAGAAACGGTTTTCCTATCCGTGGGGAATAAATTTTGTCCTTTTTATATGTAAAGTAATTATAAAAGAAAATTGCATTAAAAATATATAAAAGAAAATAAGTGGAAACTATGAGGGGGTCTGAGAAAGCTAAAAAAACAAATTTGTTTTAATTAATTTTTTTTATAAATTTAAAAATTTGTTAAAAAATTCTAAAATTAATTTTAAAAATAAATTTGTAATAAGTTTTGAAAATTAAAACTGCATATCTAATTTTTCTCAAAATTAAATGAAATTAAACAAGCATATGCACAACTGTCATAAGATTTAAGAATTAATTATAAAATTATCAGAAATGATTTATTAAAGATAATACATATATCGATTTTGATTCTAAAAAAATTAGAGTTTTAATAATGTAGTTTTACTTAATTAAAATTTAATTTAAAATTTAAAAGTCACCTTATTATTAAATATTCATAATTATATTTAGAATTGATATGTAATATTTTCTTATTTATATATTTAATCACAAAATTAAAATTCCATCGGCAATGGCTCTATTTCTGTTATTAGCTAGTTATTTTGTTATCTATTTTTGCCTTAACGCTAGTTATTTCTTAGCTAGTCTATTTTGTAATTTTGTAACATGCCAATAACTGGAGGTTTATAATTATATGTCCTAACATTCCCCTGTTGTGGTCCATTGGTGGTCATTATAACTTAAAAAGGTTACTGGTGAATTGCACCTCTGATCAATGGTCAAATCTTACCAAAAAATAAAGTATTAACTTTTAATTCCTAACTTCTAACTCCTAACCCCTAACCATTACTCCTGTCAAACAAAAAAAAAAAGGAGTAATTGTATGCCCTAGTTTCTTTACTAGAGGCACCTTGTACAAATTATGGCATTTTGAATCTGAAGATAAGTTGCTCAGGAAAACAAAAACGTATGCGCGCACCCAGGGCCCCCCCGCATTATTATTGCTTGCAATAATTCACCACCTCCCACGGAGCATGTGGTCGTGATTATAATCCTTTCCCATTGCTTTTGCCTTTTGGTTTCTTTTCTTACGAAAAGAAATGGCAAAAGGTGCAGATCAGCCCCTAAACTCAACAACTGGTGGCAAATCACCCCCTCAACCCACTTCACGCGCAAATCAGCCCCTCAACTCCCCTGCAGTGGCAAATCAGCCCTTCTTTTAACATTTCCGTTATCATTTAACGTCCTGTTCATCAGCCCTTCCTCTGTGTCTGATGTGGCCATTTTTTGGCTGAAATGGATGCTGAGGTGGAGGCACACCTGGACAAATCACTTAAAATTAGCAAATT